CATGGGTCAAATTCCAGCCCCAGCAGCTCTAAAAACATGGTGGGCACATGTGAAGGTGTGTCGAAAATCCCAATACGGTGGAGAAATTGAGAGGGGATTGTGATGTGACCATACCCCATCTGAAGAGGCTTTCTTCCTCTTTCTCCTCCTCTCCTGTCTTTCTTTAGTGAATGCATGTGCCTTCTGGCAAATTACAAACAAACAAAAAACTCACTCTGCAAAACCCAAATGTTAAAAAATACACATAAGACCTACTTACCATGTCTAACAACAGACTCTGGAGCTTAAGGTCATACGTTTTATATACGAATGAATAAACCAATCCATCCACCATTCATTTTGACTTCACGGGTCACTAACAATGACTCACTTCACCCCATTAAAACAAAATCCATTCCACTTAAAAGAATGACGAGGGAGTGATAAAATCAGAACACTGCCCTGGCGTAACCCCGAAGGAGTGACTGGATCGAGGCAGGATCAACTGACGTTGTATGAAGCCAGGCAGGCGTGAGCTTCCTGATGAAAAGATAAAGAGCCACATACGAATTTGGGCCCCCAAGAGAGGAAGCCCATATCTGATCAAGCTGTGAGATAAACCTAACGTAAAGGGAGTACGAGGAACCAAAACCAATGTTTCACGATCCCAAACGGGCCTCCTCAGGAAAATCCCAACTGTGAGCAAACCTTCAGGACCCATGACTGGGTTTCCTCAAATAAACAGCAAGTGAGAAATACAGACGGAGAGGGAAATTTGCAGATTAAAGGAGATTTAAAAGAGTCATCAGCTGACTGTGATGTGTGGGCTTTATCTGGCTACTAGATAAAACAGACTGGAAATAAAGGGATTTATTGTCAGACAATGAGAAATTGGAATATTGGAGTATTTGATGATATTAAAGAATTGTTGGATTTGATGATAAGGAGTTGTTTTAGTGGTAACATTTTAAAAAGTTCTTCCTTTTTTTCCCCTAATTTGCCAGAGGGTGTGTGTGCTCGCCAGAGAGAAACAGAGAGAGAAAGGGTAAGGAAGAAGGCACCCGCCTCGGACACGATCACACCACAGTCCAGTGGTAACGTTTCAAAAAGTTCTTCATTTTTTTTTTTCCTAATTTGCCAGAGGGTGTGTGTGCTCGCCAGAGAGAAACAGAGAGAGAAAGGGTAAGGAAGAAGGCACCCGCCTCGGACACGATCACACCACAGTCCCTTCTCCATCTCTCCCATTTGGGGATTTGGGGCCCACATGCACATATGCCTGGTGTGTTTCTCAAGCTTCCGGGTCTGGGACTTGAACTATGTGGTTGGCCACGTGGGGTCCAGACTCCTTAACCATCATGTCGTGGGCTGGCTTGGTTCTTATCTTATAAACTGAAAAACATATTGAAATATTTATGGTTGAATTGATATGATGTTTATATAGGCTTTAAAATCCAAAAGGAAGCAGAAGTAAATGGAGCTTTGGAAAGGGTCAGTCGGGTATGATGGGTTGGGTGACAGACACACTGGGTTCAATGAACTCTTCTCTCTCTCTCTCTTTTTTTTTTAAAGATAGGGTCTTGCCATGTCATGACCTTCCTGCGGTAGCCTCCCAGCTGGGACTATAGACATGTGCCATCATGCCCAGTGTTTTTTCAGACTGGGTCTTACTTTGTTGTCCCAGCTTCAAGCTCACTGTCCTCCAGCCTCAGCCTCCTCAAATTGCTGGACACAGAGGTGCATGCCACCATGCCTGACCTTTAGGTTAGACTAGGGGTCAAAGCCAGGACTCCCACGTGGTCCCAGCCTGCAGAGCACAGTGTCTTAGCAGCGCACAACACTGCAGCTGGGCTCTCCCTGCACTATTCCAATCTACTTTTGTCTATATCCCAAACACTCCATCATAGAAAGTTCAGAAAGAAAGGCAGCTCAGGGACCAACAGATGGTATATGGCTACATTGCTGGATTCCCACATGGCCAACCACAGTTCAAACCCCAGACCTGGGGGTTTAAAAATCACATGGGATACATATGTGTGTGTGTACCCCAAATCCCAAAAGAATGGAGGAGGAGGGACTATGTCGTGACTATCCCCCTTGGGGGGTAATTTCTGTCTCTCTCTCTGTGTGTCTCCAGTGAGTACACACGCCTTATAGCAAAAATCTCTTAAAAAAAAGAAGAAAAACAAGAAAAGCAGCTCATAAAATTCAGTCTGCCCAGAGGCCAAAAGGTGTCATTAAGGTGTTAGACTCCAACACGGCCAATGGTGATTCAAGTCCTGGACTCTGCAGCTTAAAATCATGCCAGGCACGTGTGCACGTGTTCCCAAAATCCCAAGAGGAGAATGGAGGAGAAGGGATTGCTGTGGGCAATGGGGAGTGACTTCTCAGTTTCCCTCATTCTGTCTCTCTCTGAGGAGTGTACACGCCCTATGGCAAAAACCTTAAAAAAAAAAAAAAAGTCTGCCAGCTGTGGGCCATCCTCCTGGGGAGTGACTTCTCAGTTTCCCTCATTCTGTCTCTCTCTGAGGAGTGTACAAGCCCTATGGCAAAAACCTTAAAAAAAAAAAAAAAGTCTGCCAGCTGAATGTGGAGTCTGCAGCCCCTCAAAGCCAGCATGTCGGGGGATTTATCAATCCCAGGTCAGGCCTGGTCATCATCTTGGAGAAGGAGTGAGTCAATAAATGAGTTTCCTGAGGGCAAAAGCCCAGGCTTTAGGGTCTGACAATATGGAAAATAAAAAGTAACTGTACTGGATAGGAGACTCTTAGAATGCAGGTAGGTTAATGGGTAGCCATTCCTGTTTCAAAAGACTTTATTTAAAATATATCAAGGGCTGCTGGGTAGTGGTTAAGGGCACTGGATTCCCATGTGGCTAACCATGGTTCAAGTCCTGGAACTGGTGGTTTGCTTCATTTCCCTTTCTCTCTCTCTGTCTCTCGCTGGTCAATAAAAGCTGTTAAAATACAGCATGATTTACAGAAGTTGGCAACTTCACAAGAGTCCATCTACTGCATGCGTCAAGCGAGGTTGGCTGACTGCTGCTTGAGAAGTGGAGGTGCTATTCACACCTAGTAGCTGCAATGAGGCCAGGCCCCAAGGGACCACAGCCACCTCCTTCACCTGCTCCCCTCCACTCCTATCTTTGTCATAGCACAAACAGCAGATCTCAGAGAACTCTGTCCCCAGGAAAGTTCAAGCCACAGTGTGGAATTTCCTCTGCAGGTATCCACCCCGACCAGCAGCCCTACCCGATTCGGATGGCAGGGCAGCCTCCCGAGTCGGCACCTCCCATAGACAGAAATCCACGGGGAAAGGTTTGTCAGGGCCCCTGGGGCCGCCCAGCCATGCAACTGGACACCTACACTTTGTAAGCACTGGTTTCCAACAGATAAATGTAATCAAGGTTTATATGCTCAGAGAAGCCAACAGGATGGGATTGTTTCACTTGAAAGATCAGAAGAAAATTGTAACTAATGTTGTGGAAAATTACTTTGATATTGCTTTCTTGGTACCGAATCACAATTAGGCTGCTGTGAGAAGTACAGGGAAAGAATAAATGAATAGTAACAAATCAACACAAACAGCCTGTGTCAGGAGCACTTTGCTCAGGGAAAGTAACGTAAGCATTACTTAAAGTTTTATGACTGTGTTTGCTCTGATCTCCCCAGAACATCTGGGTTGCCCATTGCCAGGCACACGGCAAGGGTGGTCCAGCTGCACTCACCACTGGAATGCCGCTCAGGACGCAAGCGTGAGCCTCGCCAGGGCTGCCTGCTGCAGGGGATGTTCGTTCAGCTTCATGCCACTTTCCCCACCCTGCCCCCGAGGCTGGGATTCTCTCTGGGCAACTCCACCCCAGAAATGCCAGCCATCCTGTGGGCCCACACCCCACCCATAAGCCACACCTGTGCACTTGAGCAGCTGTGTAGGGTGGTGCCGGACAGCATGAGGGCCAGGAATCCACTGCCCACAGAAGCACGGGCTGTGCTTTGCCAGCTGGCAGGAGCATGGCAGACCCCCAAACCGCAGTCTCACCCAAGGAATATACCGCCTGTCCCTGGGGTGTACCACAGATAGCCCTGGGGCCCTTGTCCCAAGTGGACGTCACAGACACACTCGTGCCTTCTCTCCCAGGCTTCCCTTTGCTGCCAAACACACACACATACCCCCCAAGACGGGCACCAAGGATACGCGCACCCTTCATCCCAAGCCATGTCTCAGCCCCACTCCGCCCTGCATTTGCTTCTGCACAGATAACGCACACCACAGGGACCGACTCTCAGCCCACCCTGACAGCGCTGTCGCCTGGACCCTGTCCTGCTAACACAAGTGTTCTCAGCTATGCGAGGACTCCTGTGAGAATGGGAGTCACACGCGCTTGCTCCTCCAGAGGCCTGGGAGCAGCCAGACCCACTGTGAACAGCCACTACTTGTGGGGGTCCAGCTCAGGTCAGCACTGAGGGCTGGTTCCCCGGGGGCCACAGACTTGCTGCCTCTCACTGACTCTCTGCTGAAGGAACCACCTCTTTGGATAGCAGAGGGGGGGTCTTGGCCTCCAAAGGCCAGGAGGAATCCTGACTTCTCTGTCAGATTCAAGGGGTCCCCAACGCAGGGAAATTGGGTCTTGCTCGGGAGCATCTCAAGGAGAAGTTCATCCATGTCTCAGAGGATGTTACAGAATCCTCCTTAAATCTGAGTTTCACCAAAGACAACAACAGGTTGAACAGATGGCAAGCATCGCCATGATCCCTGAGAGGGCCACCGTGTGGCTGTCACTGGCTGGTGGCCAGAGGTCAGAGGCTAGAGCCCTGAGGCTGGCAAGTCTGACGTCAGACATGGTGTTCTCACATTAAGACCAATGCCTGTCAAGGGGAGGCCACGGCCCCTCCTCTGCCTCCCGGTGGTCTCAGCACAGACTAGCCCCCCTCCTCCAGGCCCAGCACACTAGGACGGCCAGGGAGGCCTGGTCTTGGGCAGGAAAGCTGGGGGTGGAGATGGTGGGACTGAGTGCCAGGGCTCACCTGGCACCTGCTGGGGGGCGAGCTCCGTGGGGTCCTGCAGGCTGATAAAGAGGAGGAGACCGGCAGCTCCGAACAGCAGAATGGAAGAGAACATGCAGGCCAGCCGCATCGTTCCGGGTCGTGGGGTCATCCGGGGCTCGCTCCGGAGTCACCTCTCGGGTGCGGGAGGCGTGTTCTTCCCTCATCGTCCACACCAGGAGTCCATCAGGCCGAGGTCTATGGGGCAGAGGAGAAAGCGTCATCGCCGAGTCACAGGGTGTCCTGGCTGGTGGAGGCCCTAGCCTCTGCAGGGACCCAGGTGTAATCCCAGGCCCCCGTGCCCCTTTAGAGCTGACTCAAGTGTCTCTTCCACCTCTGCCAGCCTAAGGAGGCCGAGAAGTCCTGCTGTCACCTGTGGCCGGGACATCAGCTTCCACCAGGGTCCACGGTGTCTGCATCCTCAGACACACCATCGAGAGAGACTTTCTAACCCTGCCTGCCTGAAGACCCATAGTTTGTGACCAGTGGCCGCCCCCAGGCACTGTCCAGGATCTCTGAGCCTCCATATGTGCTCCTCACATGAAGGTCCAGGCAGGTATGAATGGAATCTGGACCCTTGTCCCCGCAACTGGCCTGGTGGACAGAGAAGCCCTCAGATCTGCCTTTCCGCAGGCTCCTCTCTATGGGAGCTGGGACCAGGGCCTCTGTGGGGTGGGCTCCTCTCTAGAGGAGCTGCAACCAGGGCCTCTGTGGGGCGGGCTCCTCTCTATGGGAGCTGGGACCAGAGCATCCGTGGGGCGGGCTCCTCTCTACGTGAGCTGGGACCAGAGCCTCCGTGGGGCAGGAGGCTATGAGAAGGAGCCTCCCAGGCCCAGCTGTTCAGGCACAGCCCGCCAGAGCTGACCTCACAGTCAGAAGGATGGATGGGCTGGCAGGTTCGAGGGCCCCTGCACAGTCTCACCTGAGCAGGAGCCACACTCTGGCCAAATCATGGTGGTTATAACTATCGGGGCCCTTGGCCTAGCCTGAGGCAGGGCTCTCGTGTCCCTGATGACGGCCATTGCTGCTGCTCTGGCCACACCAGATCAATGTGTATATGTGACTTGTCCTACCCTGGCTCCTCCTGCAGGCCAGAGGAAGAAATTCCCAGTACTCTAAATCCCAACCAGAAACCTTCAACTGGGCCAGGATGGGTCAACCCCCATGGGTCAAGATGGGGGCACCTCAAGGCCATCTGCCTCACGGAGGGATGTCAGTTTCTGCAAAAGGTGGGGTGTGGGTGGGTGGGTTGGGGCGGGGTGCTAGGAGTATGCAGACACCTGTGCAGGACAAACTGCAGGTGTCCCAGGACTTTCCCTTACCTCCAGAGGTCCAATTGGCCCAGACTCAGGGAAACACTTCTTCCCACCCACGGAGCCCTGAAGGGAGCATCCGTGACCCTGCACAGGGCAGTGCCCAGGGGAGTGAGCCAGGTGGCTTGTCAGATCCCTGGCCAGATGTGCTACTGGGCTCAAGGACAGTTCCCTGCCCAGGTTCAGGACCTCGGTAGGGCCCTCGACCCTAAACAGCATGCAGGTGCAGGGGCAGGGGCCCAGGCTACTGTCTCCATGTGCCACTTCTGGAGCAAGAACAGAACGTGAGGAAAAGAGAAGCAACCTTCCACCTGCCCCTGCCTAGAAAAAATTCCCGAGGACCAGATTGCTTCTCAGGAAAGCTCAAGGGCTGAGGAGCGTAAATTGCAGGTTTGGGTTTCTCCCCTCTGCAGTCTCTGTAATTATTTTTTCACTCAGTTAACTTTAATTAACCTGCCCCAGGCCTCCACGCACCAGGAGCACGCCTGTCACTGGGCTCTCTGGACTGTGCCGAGCAGGTGCTTCCCACGGCCTCTCAGCTTCCGTGGGTGGGAGGCGGCACTAAGCTGGGCTTGGTTTGTCTCAAGCTGGCTGTCAGCTCTGGGGAGGCTCCGGCCCCACTGCACGGGCCCTTGTCCAAAAAAGACAGCTGCCTCCTGCCATCACCAGGCCACCCCTGGTGCGGTGGGTTAAAAAGGGTCAACCATGTGTCTCCAAACTCAGATCCTGAAGCCCGTCATGTAGGGCCAGGGTCCTCCCTCCATGCTGCCCATGGGACTGCCTGGTTCACTTTCTTGAAAGACCCCGGCCCAGCTGCACAGGCTCCAGACCTCACTGAAGGACCAGGCCATGCTCAACGCTGCCTGTGACATGCTCTGGTACTCCAGGGTCTCCCAGCCCTGCCCTCGGTGATGCTAGGCTCAGCACGCAGAATCCTGGGCCACCAGTGACAGCCCCAAGGTTCTGGGACATGTGAGTGCAGAGCGACTGATGGCGACAGCAGAGCTAGTCTCTCCGATTCTCAGTCTGTCCCCTATAAGCAACTAACCCCTGAGGATGCCCAGACAGCCACGGGAAGGAGTCAGAAGAGTGGAAATAATGTAACACACAGATGTGGCAGGGATAAGACTCCGATGGCAGCGGGGAGGTGTTCAGGCTTCTCTGCTGCCACTTGGTCACATGCACGCCACCCATGGACCCAAGCAGGTGCACGTGTATCCGCATACGCCCAGGTACACACTGGCAAGCGCCTGCATACACACTATAGAGAGTCCCAGCAAGGCTTCGGCTGTAAGAAACCATCACAAACCCATGAGGACGCTGCTGCAGGTGTTGGTATACTTCTGGTAGCAACGTCGGCCTCCTGAGTCAGACACCAGGAGGCCCATTTGACCTAGGGTGGCCTCTGACATTGAGGCATTTTGTAAGGAGGGAGAGAGGGACAGGAAGGAGGAGAGAGGGAAGGCTAAGTTAGTGGCTAGTGCATAATGCTGCCTGGAAACATGACTAATGAAGTGTCGCCCAATATGGGCCCGAAGACTCCGTGTGCTGAACACAGGGGACTTGGAAGCATGTGTGATCATCAGCCGGCTGTTCAGGGGTTGGCACGGCACAAGTGGCTACAGACGTGCTGGTTAGTGCCCTCTTCTCTCCAGTATGGCATGCTGTCCCCATTCAAGCCAGTACACTTCCCCTGTCAAAGACAGCCGATTCTGTAGCCATGGCCTGGCCTCACCAGTCTCTGCAGCTGCTTGAACCAAACCCACTACACAGAGCCAAGCTGTGGCCGCCCACGTGCTGGGGAGCCAGGACAAGGATGCAGTCCTGTCCCCCAGTCTGGAGGGGACCATAAAGCAGCCCCAGGACCTGCACCTTCCTGTGGCAGGAGGATTAGCTGTCGTGTTTTTCATTTCAAAGCCTCTCCCCATTGCTGACCCCTGAGAACCCAGCACTCTCTCCATGCCTGGGTTAGCTGGAGAGAGCCGCGCCAAGCCTCTCCTGCCAGATCCTAAGCCCCAGTCTTCCCCTCTGGACTCTCCTCTCTGCGTTTGCTTTCTCTGGGGACCATCGGACCAGCTACCTCCCTGCCCTGTGCAGATGGGAACTCAGGCTGGCATGCCTCCCCACCTCAGTACCTGGTTTGTAGTCTGGCTAGGTCTCAGTGCCCCAGGAGGAGACCAAAATCCCAGAATCCATAGGAACCCCCTTTAACAAAGGTGGGGGTGGTGAAGAGTCAGAGACTCTGCACGCCCGATCCGCTATTGTTCCCCAAGGGTCTTATTCTGCAAAGTCTCCATTATATTCAAGGCAACGAAGAACAGATGCTGGTCCAAAGGCTGGTTGTCTCCCTCTCCTGGGAGCTGAGCTGCTACCTGGGGAGAGGATACAGCACATCACAGGTTGGGGCCTGGCTGCCTGAGGGCCTCATAAACACACCCACAGGCCTCAGCTCCCACCTGGGACCATCCTGTCCTCACCAGCCTGCATCACACTCGGGTCTGAGAACAAGTGCGAAACCTCCCTGCAGGTTTTCCAAGACCAAGAAACAATAGGAAAATTCAAATTACTAGGAGCAGAGAGAGGGAAGGAGGGAGGCAAGAAAAATAAACAGCCCAGATGAGTTTCTAGAAGCTCCTGCCCTGCTCACGATTCCTAGTCCTCCCAGTGGCTCCCCTCCCTGAGGCCTGAATGGCGTCACCAATTTCTACTTCAGGACATAAAATAAAATATCTAATTAATCTTGTAAACACCTCTTGGGACACAGGGCAAGGCCAAGGATTCCTCCCATTTCCTTATTTATTTGATTTAAAAATGTGTCTCTTCAGGGAAATTCATTTTAGGGCATAAGCAAGGACCTGGGAATTCAGCCAAAATACACGCACCTCCAGTGGCGACGGCCAGCAGGCGGACGGACGCACGGACAGCTCCAAGGACACGCCGGGCTGCAGCTGCTCCAAGACCTGGACACTCGCCCTCATCACCCATGGGGCCCCCACTGGGTGTGGGGCCCCGTCCCCGTGCCCTACTCCAGGCAGCATGGGTGCGCCCACGTGGTCAGTGCCCCGGACTGGGAAAGTTCTGTCCAGCTAGTCTCCTCATTGCACGGCCAGGAGCGAACAATGACGTCCCTCCCGGCTGAGGGCTCCAGGAGAAGCTGCTTGTCGGGAGAGAGGCTGCTATGGCAACTTGGAGAATGGAGCCAGGCACTGCCGTCACCTTGAATCCGGCACCGTGCCTTCTGCCGCGGCGGCCGAGGGGACCAGGCGCCCCGCTCTCCCCCCTCGGCAGCCGGGCGCCGGCTGCCGACCTCCGCCTGGCGCCGGCTGCTGACCTCGGCTTCCCTTCTCAGCCTGCTGGCCTTGGGAACGCATCTGCTCCCCGCCGAACACACGAAGCACACAGCCCCGTCCCCCGAGAGGACCACCTCCATCTGTTTGTCAGACTAGTTCTTCCGTGTGTGTGGCTCCTGCTTACTTCGGAGATGGGGCTCTTCTTGATTTCAGCTCATTAAAATCCTGCAGCTAATTAAAACCGCTCTAACGGCAGCAGCGGCGGCGGCAGCAAACTCTGGGACGAGTCCCTCCAGTTTTTATGCGTAGGCATAAAGTTGCAGTGCTCTGCCAGGGTGACGGATGGCCGTGAGTGCTCACACTCAGAGGCGGGGCTGCTGAGAGGTGTTCCTGCCCTGCCGCTGGCCTGACGTCCCCAGAGCCAGCTTGCACCCCATGCCTGGGGAGGCCATTTACTCCCCTCCAAAACAGGATTCCCTCCAGCCCCCCACCCCATGCCCTCTGCAGCGGGGAGAAAGGGCATCTGAGGGTGACGGTCGTGGTGCAAATCAGAGGACCGCAATGCCTTGCCCCACGAGGGATGCCTCAGCTCAGGCTCCCACCAGGGCGAGCACAAACTGGGGCTCTGGAGGAATGATCGCAAACACAAAGCTGAGGCCAGGAACTTGTGAGAACCTGGCCAAAGAGCCACAGGCTCTCAACCGCTGTTAGGGGTAGGGAGAACAGCAGCACCATCACGCCATCCCTGCCCAGAACTTCTCCCACACTGAGGGCTCATTCTGCAGGTACTGAACTGGAGTCTCCCCACACCCCTGCTCTAGCAGAGTACAGAATGCCAACTCAGCACTTTGGATCCCAGGACCATGTGAACCTTAGCTCCGGCCCCGCGGACAGCGTGGTTGCCCATCAGCCTCGGTGCCTGGGAGCAGCGTTCGGTCCTATCCTCATCTTTGTATTCCCAGCACTCAGCACAGGGCCCGGCACAGGGAGAGCGATCGATATCTTCTGCTGCATGTTGAATGAGCATGAGTTAATAGATGGACGTGTCTGGGGCCATCTGGAGAGAGGCACTCCATGAACCTGGAATTTTAAAAAGGTCATTTATGTTTCAGGGAGCCGTGAGTTTCAATGAGGTCTTGGTCGGAATCAGGCCCAAAGAGTAGCTCCATTCTAGGAGAGCAGAAGAGGCCAGGAAGTGGAGCCCCCCCAAGGAACCTGATGGGGCCTGACAGATCAGGAATACCCACCCACATGCCACACCAGGAAGCCACGTTTGGATCCTTGAGTTGGTGTCACAGACTGAGGAGCACAGGGCTGCTAACCAGCTCTGCTTGAAAGCAGCCTGAGGGGCCAGCAGGTGGTGGTTAAGGTACTGGACTCCCCATGGCAGTCCACGGTTCAAGAACCGGACCTGTTGGCTTCCTTTGTCTCTCTCTCTCTTTCTCTCTCTCTCTTTCTTTCTGTCTCTCTCCCTCTGATGAGCACACATGCCCTCTAGTGAATTTTTTAAAAATGAAAATAATAATAAATAAAGTTTAATTTAAAAAATGCTGGGAATCACACAGAAAAGGCAAAATTCCTTTTTAAAAAAATAGAATTATTTAATTTAATTTTATTTATTCATTCATTTATTTAAATTTGACCAGAAAGACACACACACACACACACACACACACACACACACACACAGATAGAGAGAGAGAGAGAGAGAGCACGAGAA